TCAAGTTATGATAAACAAAAAGTGTATTATACAGGGGGTTTAATAGAGTCACGTTTTCCTGGTCAAAGTTTAAATCCGTCCGCGGACAATACCAAATATATTCATTTTTTATGACCCGCCCATTTTTGTGAAAAAGACTTGAAATTTTCTCAGTAAATCTAAATTTACCATCTGCTAAAGCAAACTTCCTTTGTTTGTTCCCGCCAATTAAAGCACTTGGAAGTTACGGCGTCTGAGTCTAAATATAACGGGGAATTATTATTTATTCATCCACGGTCATGTGAAATGTGCACTGACGAAAGCTTAAAATTAATGATTGAGAAGTAGCAAAGTATTTTAGACCTTACGAATCGATGAGAATAACGCATAACGAGAAAGAGCTTGGAGTATATTTTCTATTAAAGCCTTTGAGGGAACCCAGTTCAATTTTCTGTGAGTGGATTGGAGCCATTTGACCCTGAGCCGATCCGCTCGAGTCGGTCTGTCTTTCTCGCCCTCAGGACCGAGGCACGTTCCGACAATGTCGCGTGCATGTCAACGACTAAAACTTGATATAAGCTGCTGAAAATTTGAAAGCAAAACTGCGCTTATATGGACTTTTTGACGGTGAAGCTAAACTAAATCGTTCAGTTTAGGCAAATGTAGAAAGTTTGAATATGGCCAAAGAACTTGCAAGCCGCGTTTCGTTTGCATTATCCCAAACCGATTGTAGCATTGAACAGTGCAGACAAACTTGGTAATTAGCGGCGATTTAAGAGCTCCAAGTGGGTCATTGAAAGTGAATTTGTTTATTTAGGCATGCAGATCACGGCTCTGCAACATGTCGCCTATAAGAAGCATTCCAAGAGAGCCGAATACGATGCGTGTATATAAAATGCAACGATCTCCCATCGGCATTTTTTCGGCTAAAAATACAAATTAGTGGCGGCATTGTCAAACACCACCGAAGCGTATCTCCGTGTGAGATTATTCACATACCAAGCAGCGAATCGTGCTTTACAAGTTTACCTAAATGGTATTTATTATCGGCAAAACATGCGCTGATAAGCACCGTTTTGAATGGAGGGCGATGGGTTTTTAATGAGCCATACACGATGCTTTTTGTTTAAAAACTCCCAAAAAAGCCTAATTTGGCCTGAGGGTTGAAGCCCAGATGAAGAAAACTGGGACTGTCGCTGGCAGATGCCAAGTCTCTGTTGAAAATGCTCGTAGCATACAAATCAAATCTCCAATGGCATCGACGCCAATTAAGGAGGTTTCTTTAAAGCGGACTGGAGGTCATCGGCGGTTCGGCCCATAATTGGCGATGCCAAGAACGACTTCCCAGTACCGTTTTATTCCTGTTTTTCTTGGCCGGCTCTCATTGGTATAATTGGGTCAGTTTCATTGGGCATAATGAAAGTTTTGCCTTGCAAAGCGCCACTAATAACTGCAGAATGATCAGATCCGCTAAACGGCCAGAAAAATACCATCAAGTTCTTGTCACATTACTTTCTACCGCCTTTCAAATAGCGTCACAGAAAAAAATGGTTCAGCTATCGTATTGGAAATCGTGGCTCAAGTGGTGTGACATCATCGACCAGAATACCTTATGATATTTGCCAATTTAACGCAAAGGTGTGTCGTAAGAAGGCAGGCTTGACCAAGAACTCGTTTTACGGTGATTCTGATACGGAGTCAGTCGATTCTCGGAATACGGTGAATTGTAAATGGATATTTTGTTTGATCATTGGATTTGCATCAGGCCGGTAAATGTGTCCACTTTCCTCTATTTGCCGAGAAGTTTGACCCATTTTACCAGTCAGATTTTTCTATATTCATGCAGTAAATAGGGAAAATGCAATCGCGAAGTGTGTAAGATGCGGGTATTTAGTCGTCAATTACTTGACTTCTTCAGGACTTATGATTTTTTAATTGTATTTTTTTGCGCTCTTGGCAATTTTCGCAGAAAACGTTAAAACAGTCAAGTAAAACAAGCATAAAACCTTGTACTTGTTCTTCTCTTGTTTCAAATTAGGTTGATAAACAAAATTAATGGCAACGTTGCTGAATTCAAGATGAGTTCATTCCTTATTCAAGCGCAAAAGTGAACAAATATTGGAAGATTTATGTCTATTATCGGATTATTGAGGAGTAACTTGTTTGCTTTGTATATTTGGTTTAATTTGCTTTGGCAGGCAGCAAACAATTGTACATTTTCACGATTTTTAAATAAATTAATTGAGTTAATAAACTACATTGAAAATTGCAAACTCCTGAGCAAAAGACCACTAAGAAAAGTTGTTAATAACAGGATCATCGCAACTTCGAACGTTAAGGGGATGGAAACTAGAAAATTAAAAGTAATTTTGCGTCGATGTCAGGTTTCAAACTATTTCCTAACGAATAGAGTAAATCGGCAACTGCACTGAGAAATGTGTTGAAAGAACGACATCGACGAATAACTAATTTGAGTACGCCTTGTTTATTACAAACATTATCGCGCTTCTTAGTTGACCGTTTTTAACTCTGTGGCCAGTGATTTTATTTAAAAAAGATTTAGTGGCTGCAACACGCATCGTTAAATTTGGCTCCATATGCGGTAGGCGCCGTTCTATTCATGGCATTGTGGACTCAATATGAAAGCATGACTTGAATTGATCAACAAACATTTTCTGAGATTGATCTAAACATGGGTTTGACGCAAAAGTTCACAATGCAAGCCTTTGATTTGGAGTTTTTTTTAAATTATGATTGGCAAAAAGCCTCTTAGCATACAGACGCGAATTACAACCATTTGCGGTTCATTGTTTAGTAACTTAAGATTAATCCAATCAGTTTTGGGATTTGGGAACAGTCCAACTAGAGCCGAACGATTGAAAGCCTGACCTGATCAAAGTAATTTATATTTACAAACAAATCGTTTTATCTCGGCAATATAATTTAAAATAGCCGTGACCAGATCGTTTAGTCTTGATTTTTAAAGGTCAATTCCAATGATTAAGTCCAACTTGGACAATCAATGTTATTGGTTTATAATTGCAACAAACATTTTTAAAATGAATCTGGTGGGTTTTTCGGGTTTTTGGGCTGTCCTACAATGGAATTTTTCCTGACGTTTCGCAAGCACAAGTGGCTTGCATCTTCAGAGGTGGTTTGCTTGAACGCTTACACTGTTCTGATGCGATTTCTCGGGCGTCTGTATTTATGCACCGAAATACGGAATGCGCCGGTGCATAAATACGGACGCCCGAGAAATCGCATCAAAACAGTGTAAGCGTTCAAGCAAACCACCTTGGAAGATGCAAGCCACTTGTGCTTGCGAAACGTCAGGAAAAATTCCATTGTACGACGGCCTAAAAACCCGAAAACCCCACTAGTTTCAAGGAATGGCCTCGAAAGTCTATTTCTTTTGATTTTTAAAATGATTTTAATGACCGAATTTGCTTAATTTCTTTGACTTACCCGCATGTACAAAGCTCGCAAATGCACTGTTCCTTCAACGGTACTCGGATTTTGGCAGGTTCCGGCTTCTCCTTCACTGTTTTCACAATGTTGATCACTTTGTTGTCGGTGATTCGCTTGATGTTGGTGATGTTCTCCACTTCATTCTGCAAACAATCATCCTTTTAATGCTCGCTTTTTTTAAAATGTTTGGCCATCACTTACCACATCTTTGATGTCGATGATGTCCTCTTTGATGAACGTTTTGTTGATGCGATCCACTGAATCGATGGATTGCACGTGCTTCACAATGTTCTTCTGTGTGTCGCTTTTCACATCAATTGTCGACAGGTTTTCGGTGGTGAATTTCTGATCAATGGACGTTTTCACCTGGACGTCTTCACTCAATGTTGAGGTCACTCTACTATCTACTGAAGTGGATGGCTGTTTGGGCTCCACTGCCTTTCCAGCCGGACCTTTTGGTTCCTTTGATGGTCCTCTAGGCTTAGAACTGTCTTGCACGTCATGAGTGCTGTAGTGCTCTTTGGAGGACTGATGATCCTCAAATGTTTGCGAGTCTTTTGTAATGGAGGTTTTGGAGTCGGAAAATTTGGACACTGTTTCGAAAGTTTCCACAACTGTTGATGAGTCCTTTGAAGTGGTGTCCACAAGAGTTTTGTCGGTGAACTGCTTAATGTTTTCCTGGATTTCTGTGGCTAAAAAACTGCTGTCGACTGGCTTGGAGGGGTGTTCTTGAGTGAATTTGCCATTCCAGCCAGTCTGTCCATACAGCCGATCATTTGAATAGATCACATCAGTAGAATCGGTGATGGTGTTATCATGTAAGATTTTTCCAGAGGTTCCTATGGTGTTCTGGGTGGCTGTAGAGTCGTAGACGTTTTTCACCACGGTGTTTTTCGAGTCTACAGTATGCCCATAAAAGTCCCTAGAGTTAGTGTTTGTGTCTTTTTGCCTGCTCGTGTTGGCGTCCACTTGGGTAGGAGCAGGCTTGTCTTTGGCTGTAGGAGCTTTGGAAGGCGACTTAACGCGTTTGTCTGATTTGGAGGGAGATTGCGATCGTTTAGTGGGCTGTTCTTGGGTAAATTTTCCATTCCAGCCAGTGTGTCCATACAGCCGATCATTTGAGTAGATCACATCAGTAGAATCGGTGATGGTGTTATCATGTAAGATTCTTCCAGACGTTCCTATGGTGTTCTGGGTGGCTGTAGAGTCGTAGACGTTTTTTACCACGGTGTTCTTCGAGTCTACAGTATGTCCATAAAAGTCTCTAGAGTTGGTGTTTGTCTCTTTTTGCCTGCTCGTGTTGGCCTCCACTTGGGTAGGAGCAGGCTTGTCTTTGGCTGTAGGAGCTTTGGAGGGCGACTTAACGCGCTTGTCTGCTTTGGAAGGCGATTGCGATCGTTTAGTGGGCTGTTCTTGGGTAAATTTTCCATTCCAGCCAGTGTGTCCATACAGCCGATCATTCGAGTAGATCACATCAGTGGAATCGGTGATGGTATTATCATGCAAAATTCTTCCGGACGTCCCTATGGTGTTCTGGGTGGCTGTAGAGTCGTACACGTTTTTCACCACGGTGTTCTTCGAGTCTACAGTATGCCCATAAAAGTCTCTAGAGTTGGTGTTTGTCTCTTTTTGCCTGCTCGTGTTGGCCTCCACTTGGGTAGGAGCAGGCTGGTCTTTGGCTGTAGGAGCTTTGGAAGGCGACTTGGTGCGATTTTCTGCCTTGGAGGGCGACTGTGGTCGTTTAGTGGGCTGTTCTTGGGTGAATTTCCCATTCCAGCCAGTCTGTCCATACAGCCGATCATTCGAGTAGATCACATCAGTGGAATCGGTGATGGTATTATCATGCAAAATTCTTCCGGACGTCCCTATGGTGTTCTGGGTGGCTGTAGAGTCGTAGACGTTTTCCACTACGGTGTTCTTGGAGTCTACAGAATGTCCATAAAAGTCCCTCGAGTTAGTATTGGTCTGTTTTTGCCTGATCCTGTTGGTGTCCACAAGGTTTTCGTTCACTAGACTAGAAGCCACGTTGTCCGTCTTCGTTGTCTGGACGCCTTCTTGCACAGCATGGATGTGGTCCACATTAGACACGATGGTGTTTTTTGAATCCACGCTGTGACCGTAGAAGTTTTTTGAATTCGTTGCTGTTTCCGATCCAGGAACACTATGGGTGTCCACGTCTGTCAACGTTTTGATAACATTCCCTTTGGAGTCGTAGTAGGTGTAGGTGGTGGTTACTGTCTCCTTCTCGTCCAGGTTTTTCGAGCTGGACTCTTCCAGGCTTTTGCCTGCTTTCGTGGAAACCTTTTTTGGAGCACCAGTTTTCTGGCTGGTGATCGAATCCTTGGTCTGCTTGAGCAATTTGGAGTCACCCTCCTGAGTGTGGCTCTGGGAGGACGAAACGTTGTCGCCCACCTGATGCACCTCCCTACTCACCTCCGATGTGTAGCCTTTGGGCTTGGGAACCTTCGAGTCGTAGCTGGTGGCGCTTTCCTTGGCGTTTTGCTTGAAGTGCGCCTCTGGCGTGATGTTGGTGCCACTCTTTGAGGCGAGAAACTCCTCATTGCTGGAGGTGTGCGCCTGACCGGCCTCATGGTGCTTCTGGTCGACTATCCGCTCCTTGCCATCCACCACCTCCACCACGTAGCTGCTCGATGAGCTTTTGGCTGTCGAAGAGCTTTTCTGCTTCGAGCTGGAGGTGGAGCTTTGCTCCACTGTGCTCCCCTTTGGTGGTTGGCCTTCTACGGTGAATTTTCCGTTCCATCCCGAGTCGTTTTTGTTGTATGTGAGCTTGTATTCCTCTCTGGGCTCTGTCACTGTGTAGGTGGATCCAGAGGCGCACGATAAGTTGGAGGAGGATTCGTGCAAAGTGGAGCTGATTTGCTGGATGGAGGTGGCATGAGAGGTCGAAGAGGTGGAGGCGTCTTGAGTGACAAAGTGTCTGTACTCGGTGGAGGTAGCGCCTCCATCCCCATAGACTGTGACTTTCTCGCCGGATCCCGTAGGGAGCATTTCAGTCACTGTGTAGCTGACAACGTTGGCGTTAACGGGCAAATGGGAAACGTCCGATATTTTCAAGCTGGACGCTGAGGAGGACTTGGAAATTGCGCCACTCTTTTCCGACTTACTTGTACTGGAAGACACCACTTTTTTCGACGATTGCTGTTGCGTGCTGCTTGTAGCCGAAGCGTTGCTGGTCGAACTCTTCTTTTTGCTGGTTTTCGACGTATTTTTATTCACAGTCATCGTGACTTAAGGCACTGGAACGAAATAAATAAAATTGATAAATTAAAATAAAAAAGCGCGAGTTAAATGTGTGTGTGCGTTCGCGACCGCGCTCGTTTCAAAATTAAACCGAGAATTCGCTGGTGCGCTCCCAACAGGTTACGGCGATGACCCGTGGGTACAACGGGGCCTACGTCACTCTTGTTTCTTGTTTCTCCCACATTTGGTAAATCTTCTACTTATATGGATGGTCTGCGAGGTTTCTTAATTATTCGTCACTTTCTACGCTGAATAATGCCGTATTTTTGGCCTTATGGTCGCTTTCATGCGGATTATTTTGTCGAAAAATTGTATTTTTACCACACTAGGCGGCCAAAAGATGCTTCAACTGCAACTCTCACGTATTCTTGGAATTTTTTGCAAATCAGCAATATATGCAATTTAGTATAGTAGCAAATAGAATTGTCCTGGTTTGGTGGCATGTTTTGCTTCACGTATATATACGCTCGTTTACGTGGATAGTAGTCGCTAATTATAACTGCAACTATTGCGCAATGCTTGGGACTTTTTCTTAATTTAAACACTATATTCTACTCTCTTCTAATATTGATGATTAGGGAATATTTGGAAATTTGGCAACATCGAGTGTTCAAAGTGTCTTCAGATTGCCAGCTCTGTTAATAACATTTCTTGCATATTTGTTGATTAATCTGAGGCCTATTTTGGGAATTAAGGTTTTGATAATTTTGCCTCATTTCATTTTTAACCTCTCAGAGGTTACGAATAGTCGATTGTGCGAAACTTGTGTGTTTTTGTGAGGTATTTGCAACCGTTTTCTAGATGCGAATCAAAATCAGCCATTTTTCACGTGATTTGGCTTCTAATTTCTCGGCGTTGTGCAATTCAATTGGGCTTTATCAACTTATTCCTTACGTTTCATTAGGTGTTTGTAGTAATTTTCCTAATATTAGCTAAAATAAGCGTAATTTGACATCATTGGGCTAAAGTTACCAAAGTAGTCCTTGCTAGATTAACAGCGTTCTAGATATCAATTAAAATAAGCACATTTTTGCTTGATTTGGCTTCTAGCTTTTTAGAGGTTAGAATTTTTAATAAACACGCCAAAAGTCAAGTTAGTTTTCACAAGATTCGGTCAGATTCTATCCAGATATGATAAGATATAGATAAGAGATATAGAGAATAAGCGATCCATCGGATCGAATTTTACACCAGTTCATCCGAATATGCTCAGTTTTGCCTTCTAGCTCTTTACCGGTTAAATAAAACGGTTGGTTTTCGCTATGCTCTTCGTTAGGTTTCCTAATAAATCAAATTAAGTATGCATTATTTGCGTTCCAACTTGTTCGACCTTAGAAAGGTTTAGTTAAAAGTTGTGAGGAAAAGTTAGTTCTTAAAAGAAAAGGCTCGATAAAAAACATTCTTGTGACTTTCTTGACATTTAAGCGTTTACGATTTGTTACTAAAAATGTTCAGATTTTGCTCCTGGCGTTTTAGAGTTTAGAAACTTCTCAAAATAGCTCTGCAGTAGCTGAATCTATCTAAAAAAAGTCAATATCTAAGGAGAATTTATCAAAATACAATCAAAACCCAATTGATGCTTTTAAGCTGTTTAATCTCAGTTGAAATGTACCTATTGCTGATAAGAAGCTCAAATTTCAAACATAAACAGCTAATCAATATTAATAGATTAGACCGATTTCTCAAATTTCTAGGCAATAATCATAATAATAATATAAATAATTTAATAATAAAGTGGAACTAATTCATCTACGTTAAGGTATACGGCAGAGTAAACAAGATATAAAATGCGCAACTTACCATTGTACCCTTAGAATGACCAAAAAATTAAACGGTCTAAACTAAATCAAATTCACCAGTTATCTAAATACTTAGCGATCTGCACTGATTGAAAATACCTACTTGTAATAATTATATCAGGACATTTTTGAGTACCTACGGAATATCCGTGCTCCAATAATTTAATCTACAGGAGGGTTTAATAAGAAAAACACATCATTTACGTAAATTGGCTTTATTATTAAAAATAAACTAGTGGCAACTGTGGGTTTTCAATAACGACCAATCAATTGATTAATCTGAAGATGCGACACTTGTGTGCTCGAAACGTAAAAAGCAGTTTTTCACGACGGTCTAGAAGCCCGAAAAATTCACCAGTTTTTGGTAAATGGAAATTTTGAATACACTTTTCCAACTAATATCATTTTTCTACGAAACGTCTGTTTTTATCCAAATTGAAACATTTGCCCCAGGACTACAACGCCAGAACATTGAAGGAAACAAGTTTTGAACGATTCTCCACGTACCTATTCATTGCGGGCTTGGTTTTGATATCGGTCTTTTCTACCAATTTTCGCTGGGAATTCCCTTTTAGTTCAAGCGTTGAAGGAGTTTCCATCGAAAAAACTGTGAGGAAATTTATAGGATTTGGTGTTTCTCGGGCTTACAGTCACTTCGGACGGCCTCGGAAATAATTTCAAGCAAATAGCTGCTCAGTATCTCTGAACGGTGATCTAGAGATCGGTTCATGGTATTATCAATTGACACAAACAATTTAGAAAAATTATTTTATTATGTAAATATAATAAACATATATGAAAGAAAATTATTCACACAAGTTTTTTTTAACAAAAAAGGAATTTGTCATACGATTATATTAGAATCGAGAATGTTTCCATCAAAAATAAATAATTTAGATACTTTTGTCTAACAAATCTTTGGCTGAAATAGTTTAGAAGCTGGGATTAGTACTGGTGATTCCCTTGATATAGTAATAAGATTAGTTACGCCTAGGATAATGAATTGGGTACACAATGATTAGCTGGAGGTCCACAAGTTACAAAGATACAGTTACTAGGATAATTAGCAACTGACGGTTTCTTTCCCGAGCGAAAACCGTAATTAAGTATCTAAAAAGCAACATAATGTGTCAACGGGAATGAAATGAGTTGTTGTAATAGCAGCACTCGATTTTATGTGGAACAGTCCGCATTGTCAACTACCAAGTTGCTCACAAGCGCCTCTTGACTTTATCCCATATCCTCAAAACAGTATGAAAACTATCTAGACGTATAATCATAATACAAAACGAATATATCATAATAAGTAAGTTCCCTGACTTATTATTTTGGTAATTTCGTGCCATTTCAGATCCAGTTGAATAATTGGACCTTGTTTTTTAGTACTTCCAAACAATTTTTTTCTTTGACTACAAGTTTACAATGTTTTTTTTTCGATTTTACATGTTTGCAATGTTTTTCTTCGGTTTTCCTGCTTGCATCAAATCGGGGCAAAGCTCTTCGGCAGTTAGCGGCCTGCAATAATTCTCTATCGAGAATATTGAATCGTGCCACTTTCTCTCATGCTGCATCAACAATTTCAACAACCCGATTTCATTCGGCTGTTGACACATTAGAGACCTCCGTCTAAGACTTACAATTGGCACTACGTGCCTAAATCTAAAGTGGAATCGTTCGCCACCGCCAGAAACACATCTTCTAATGTTGCTTCGCTGATGGAAAAATCCTCGACAATTTTGCTATTGGCTTTCAGCTCCTCGAACTGCCTGAAGAGCTGCGACCACTTCTTATCCGCCGTTTTGATGTAGAAGTGCATCGATCCCTGAAACAAAAACATACATTCCATTCAATTTGCGACAAAACGTGACTAAGATAGATGCCTTGTAGATAATGAAAAAAATCTGAAATATAAAATTGTCTATTTAATAAAATATATCCACTTAAATAAACCATTATGAAACAATTAATTTTTTAAAAGCTCACCACATGTTCATCTCGAAATTCGCCATCCGCGTACATTTCCTTCAGATGCGCCTTAAGTTTGGTCACCTCTGGATTTTCCAATAAGGTTTGACTTCGGTCTTCTTTACTTGGTGAGCCACCATCAGTGCAATCTTGTCCTAAAGCGTTCAGATTCAGTTTGAGCATCACATTGACGCCAGCCATTTCGTTCTTCAGTTTGGAAATGGTGCCTTGTTTCTTAATGGTGCCCATCTTCATGATCTTCAAACTGCAGATAAATTGTAATTGTTGTCGAACGAATCTATCAAAAGAGTCCTACTCATTGCAAAGTGCCTCGCATTCCGTCATACTATGCGACGTCAGGATGAAAGAGTTCTGCTTCAAGTTCCGGATGTTTTTGATTAGTCGCCAGAATTTTCGTCTGGACAGTGGGTCAACGCCATTGGTCGGCTCGTCCAGTAGAATAAAATCGGGAAATCCGATTACCGCCACAGCAAAACTCAACTTTCTCTTGTTGCCGCCGCTGTACTGCTCGCATGGAATATCAGCAATGTCGCTTAGACCTGTAACAAATCAGTTTATTACGATCCGGAAAGACTACCGGAATATTTGTACTTACCGAATAATTCCAGGAAAGTCTTCACCACTGCATCGTCGGAAATTCCTCGCAGCATTGCAATTGTCTTCAATATATCCCGCCCGGTTAGTGTGTAGTTGAGGGCGTCGTTTTGCGGGCAATAGCCCAAGTTTTTCAAGTACTATAATTGCGAAAAGGGGTTTACGATACAGAAGGTAAAAATCACACCTCTCTTTCAAATTAACAAAGTTAAAGCGATGGACTTGTTGAAACACGTTGTCTCGATGATCAGGTTGCTACTGCTCGCAAGTATCTCCGCTATTGCCATTAGCTGCAGTTAACTTACCTAATTCCTCATGCCCAAAGGAAAATTGATAATCTACTTATTCCGTCCAATTTCGCTCCTCACTCTGTACATGATGCTAAATATTCCCAGAGTTTACTCCACAACTTACATTATTGCTGTCAATGTCGATGTTATTAATCGAGATGGTTCCATTGTCCATGACTTCCTCCTTGGTGAGCATTCGGAACGTGGTCGTTTTTCCCGCACCATTCACCCCCAATATCCCCATACATTCGCCCTTCTTCAGGTCCAAACTGACGTTCCTCACCACCGGCCTCTTCGAATAGGTTTTGTTCAGTTTTTTCACTCTCAAAGTGTTGGTATTGCTATTGCTATCGTTCAGCATCCCATCTGCATAGTCCGCGCATTCTGGCGCCTTGCGGAAGCAATTCCAGAACGTGTTGATGACCTTCTTGCGCCAGTAACTGTCCAGAAAAATGTTCAGTAGCAGATAGAACAGCGCGCCGAGCAGCATTAACCAAATGAATGGCTGTAATACGTTGAGGTAACTTTTGTAGGAGTCGCATTTTGGACTCGGTCCCAAACAGCAAGCGTTCGAATTAAGTGCTCCACAAGTTGCCACCAGCCGTTGAGTGTTCATGTGCTCGAAATTGTAGTTGCTTATTACCTTTTGCGAAAAGGCCACTCCAGAGTAAGTCAGCCCGAACTGAGGGCAAATCAGCATGAAAATGGTCCTCAAATCGTTGCCGATTTGGACGTAATATGTGTCGCCTGACTCCTCTAAGGCAAACACTATGCTGGTTAGTAGCACGCCCAACATTATTCCCAGGATGATAAAGAAGGCGTAGCCGGAGGAAAATGACTTCTTCCTGCCGAATAGATACGAGAATGGAATACCGGCCAATCCGTAGAGCACCAGAATCATCAACAACACGCCTGAAAACAATGCACTATAGAGGGTGTCCCGGAACATAACAGGGTGGCAAAATAACATGATAAGTTCCTATAAAAAATCGACTACCCTTCATGCAAAGATATCGCCGCCTAAGAGACGTTGCTGAAATTAAATAACTTTTAAAGTACTTGGTATACTAGTTAAAGCCCTTAAAAAAGGGATTCCAACAGAAGTAATTAAACTATTTAAGTACGAAAGATCAAATAGTGGAATTATACAGGGTGTCCCGTAAGCACATGATCAAAAGAAGACGATCTGACTTTATTATGAACTATTAGTTAAAAAAATGTCCGGCGCCTCTGCTATTGATGGTCAAAGTTCTTCAAAAAAAATGACCTTTTTGCAATAATTGGGAGAATGAAACTCGCTGTGAGTTTGTTCTTATGTAAAACTCATAGTTTGACGAAACACCCCCATACGCTTTGGGCAAGTGCTGAATTCTTAACTATGGTAATACAAAAACGATCAGAACTTTTTATTTGGTGGATGGAATCAACTCATGTTTTTTTGGATTGATGTACTAATCTTCTGTTCACATTTGTGTGGTCTTTGTAAAACCTTGTAGAATTTATAGTCATTGCGCAAAAAAACATTATGTTCAAGTCAATAGTCCGTTGATTCCAGCTACCAAATAAAAAGTTATGGTAATTTGTTTACTAAGACACTCAAGAATACCTCACTTGCCCAACGCGGATGAACTCGGTTGCTTCAACAAAATAGACTCTTACATAGGAACAAATTCACAGCGAAAATCCATCGCACCATTTTGCCGATATTTCAAGTAACATTTTTCTGAAGAACTTTGGCCGTTAATAGCAGAGAAGCCAGACATTTTTTCTTAGTAAAAGCTAGGCCAGATGGGGTTTATTTGAGCCAAAGATTGTCGCAGTACATATGGGGCATCCTGTATACAACATTCTTAGGCGTCTCTTAGCCGCCGATGTCTTAGTAAGTGACCCTGAATGTATACAATGCTCTAAAGCACTTACCAAATTCATTAGTGCCTCTAAACGGCTCCCAGATCAAGCTGATAACGGTCATGCTAAAGGCAAAAATCACATAGACAACTACATCACATAGATAGGTGATGAGCCAATAGACTGAGGGCCGGACGCCGCACATGAACTGAAGCTGAGTGAAGTTCGTAGACAGTTCCACATAGGGAAAGTAAATGAAACTTCCCAAAAAGAACAGGAAGCCCAATGGCATGATAATCAGCCACAAGAGCCCGATTTGTACTGCAGATAATTGCTCTGTAGAAACTGCAAAGTTGGTGTTCAGCAACGGATGGATGTTGGTGGTAATCGAGTACTCTTGGCCCAACAGCACCTTTGCCAGGCTGTTGGTGAGCAGACTGATTGAAATGGGCGATGAGTGAATGGCCATGTTGTTGTATAGAGCGGTTGCAGTGAAGTATTGTCCACTCAGACCGATGACCGCTGCCGCGATCATGTGCCGCCGATAATACGGCAGGTTGTTGACACCTTCTGCTTCTATAGCTGAAGAAAAAGAAAGCGCGTGATTACCACGATTGTGACTATCGCGATCAATAATTACCGGAAACTGCGTTCGGCTCCAAATGGAAGTCGCTGTCGGCTTCAACAACCAGCTCGTTGTAAAAATCTACCATTCTGAGAATGGTGTGAGTCGCACCAGTGTTGCTCACATAAACAGCCGATTTCCCGTAAGTACTCAGGGACGCTTTCAAGGGCGGACCTCCACTCTTTGCATAGTCGTTCGATTCTTGTTGCCCCAACAGGATGCAGAGTAGCATAAACCCAATAGCAATCAGTGACTGAAAAGAACAGTTTTTACTCGTCTGCTTTGAGGAGCAAGTAAGACTTACCGGTATCAACACGTTGAGCATTTTTTTCGAAATGAACTGGTACCTCTTGAAAAGTAGCGCCTTCAGGGTCAGAAGATAATTTGCCGTATCTAAAAATTACACATTACAATTACACTCTGTAGAACTACGGGATTTTATGGGTGTTGGCGATCATGGTTTGCCAATAAACCAATGCATGAAAGTGCTTGTGTATAGTGGGCATGAAAGTGCTTCAACTTTCTAGTGAATTAAACTGCACATTGCAACTATCCCTACCTCAAAGCGGGGACAATGTGGGCGTTTGTGAGGGATCAAGCACATTTAGGGTGTAACAAGATGATAGTGATGGAGAATATAACGTATAGTTTAATAAAATAGCACGCTATATTGTTATGGCGATTAGCGCGAGCTATATACAGTGGAAGACCAAAATATTTGGACACTCCGCGCTCAGTCGAATTTATTTATCCGAATATACAAGGTGTTTCAGCAGGAAGGGACATTATGCCTCGTTTCGGATTTAGTGTTCAAATTTAATTAAAAAAATACAATGAAAAATTTCCTCAAAACGTATGGACTTATTTTAACGAAATCTTCCGGGGATCAATAGTTAGGGAAGACGCATGTCTTGCAGTAAAATAATTTCGTCGGGTCAGTTATTGTTGTGCACGTTGCGAATGAAACTAGCTGTTGACATTAAACACTATTCGAATATAGCGCGCTATCAAAAAATAACCGTTATTTCCATCCTTACCAGACGATTGTAATTACCTTGCGCGTTAGCGGTCAACACTGAAAGGCAGCAAAAAAATACATAAAACTGAAGTTTACAATAATCGACGTTCAAAATGTTCCGAACGCTTAAAAATCTCGCGAATGGAATTTAATAGCAAAACACACTCACCGATCGATTCATGAGCAGACACGAACTCGTTGTTGGTGTTTTCTTCTTGGGACGAAACCGTGGAACTGAAAATATAATTAATACGCAACTCGCCCATTGCAAACGCTGTGTGGTATACTCACTTGAGAAACACATCCTCCAGAGTGGCATTAGCAAATGAAATGTTCTCGATATGAAGCGATTTCTTCTTCAGTTCCAAGTACTCGAACATTGGGCCATAGTCGCCATCAGAGAGAAGAAACTGCACTTGATTTCCATCCGGCCCTTTACATTCCACGTTGCTGATGAATTCGCCCAGTTTGTTTTTAATTCGCTGCACTATTCCTTGAATGTCTTGGTTTTCTTCGATCAGGAGCTTTAGACTGGCGCCGTGATCTGAAAATCACTCTGCCACCTGACTCAGATGTTCCACAGTTTTACATCAAAACCTACTGTTTTTCTTTTTGAGTGACATCGGCGTTCCGAAGCAATGCAATTGGCCCTCATTCATAATGGCGATATAGTCGCCAATCGCATCCGCTTCCTCCATGAAGTGCGTGGTAATAAGAATGGTCTTGCTGTGTCGCCACTTTAGCAGCAAATCCCACATGTCTCTTCTGGATTGCGGGTCCATTCCTGAGGACGGTTCATCCAGGACCAAGATCTAAATAATTTTTTCGCCAATTAACATCAATTTCTACTCAATTGAGTGGTAGTGATAGGAAAGTTTACCTTTGACCCACCAATCACGGCCATGCCTAGGCACAGTTTTCGCTTCATTCCGCCTGATAGAGTGTGGGCTAGTTCATCTCGTTTCTCCGTTAAGTGCAACGTCTTCAGTAAGCTGTTCAGCTCCCTTTTTGCTTCGCTACCATCTCGGCCTTTTAACTATAAAGCAGCAGCAATTAATCATTCCATTCGGATAGGTTTTGGGCAATAGATATAACCCACTCTTGCAAAAAACTCCAAATGTTCCGCCACTGTTAGATCGGGGAAAAACAGGTTGTGTTGTGGACAAAGACCAATGGCGTGGGCAAGGTTGCCGGTACTTTTCATGCTCGTATCGTTGATCACGATGCGGCCGCTGGATTTCTTGATCATGCCTGCGGTAGAGGAAAATTGAGGAAAATTCGAACAAAACTGGCAGGTTTACATACCGGTGATCATTCCCATAGTGGTGGATTTTCCGGCTCCGTTGTGACCCAGCAAGACCGTGATGTGATTTAGGAAGATATCCAATGAGAGATTCTGGACGACTGTTTTATTCCCATACCGCTTGGTTAGATTGATCAGACTAATGCCGCTGGCCAAGCGACCTTCCTCTTGCAAATGGAATGTTTCCAATTTGTTCTGCACGTTTACGTTGTTGCTTTTAAAGCGACCTACAGATAGAACAGATAAAAGCCCCTTGAACGGGAACAAGAACGACTTGGGAACGCCGAATTTTCCAGGATTGATCCCGTCGATGTAGAGCGCGAGGAGCAAGTAGATGATCGAGTCCAGAATCAGCATAAAGCAAACGTTTCTTAGAGTGATTTCATTTACGCCCTGACCGCCTGGTTCGTGCCAGTTGGACCACTGAACGCCAATTTCTAAAAATCGTTATCCTGGCTCAATTCGTCCTTCTCACCTCAAAGTAGAGCAATTTTACCTCGAATCTCGTAATTCGATATGGCACTGTAGCCAAAATGCAACGCCATATTCGGCAGGAGCATCAGCAGCATGCTGTGCGCGAAGGGCAGATCGCTGTTTTCTGCCATCAAATACTTGGGCACAAAGTAGGACATGATCCAAAACAGGAGACCAACCAGCGTTGCAGAAGTGGCTGGAAAATTGAAAGCACATTGATCTCCATTGTCTAATCAACTGCAAATTCCAACACTTACGCCTGTAGAACAAAGTGCTGATGAACAGAGAGTTGACTGTTATGGTGATGCAGTACAGCAGCAAAAAAGCGAACAGGATTGTGGAATGCGTGTATTCGATGACCGGGTAGTCGGCTCCAAACAGGGGCCACTTCATGATTTGAACTAGAAGGACCACCGATAGAAACATTGGCAGAATGCTGTAGACGAACCAGCCGAACCATATTATCCAGGATTCCATTCCCACCATTCTCATTAGTTCCTGACAAAAACACATTTCACTTTAACTGCAGGATTCATTAGCGCCACAGCTGGGCCAGCGTCAGTAATCTTCTCGCCATTTAAGTAGATCAGTGCATCCACACTCAATGAATACATACTTTGATTCCACTATACTTTTCCTCTACCACTCTCTTTAGAACGGCAGGACAAACGAAAATGAAGCTGAACAATGTCATTAACGGTAAATAGTGCATAAGCAGCGAAGTCACGCCGGTATCCGATTTGTACGGGGGATAAGGAAATTCCAAAGCTTGGAAGGCGATATCTGGAACAGTTCTACCTCGACGCTCCGCTTCCTTCTCAATAAACGACATGTCCAGGGCGACTTGAATAGTCAGGAATCCTTGCCAAATGTAACTGCTACCTACAAGAGCACATTTTCGTGTCATTTTTTCAGATATTAAGAACAATAGAGTGAAAAATTAACATGAAAAAGACATTTACTACATATACTATCTTTTTACTAAATTGTCCGGTAAAAGCCCTAAAATGTAAATTTTATTACGTATATTTCTCCAGTCAGTGTGATTTGCACGGGAAGCGCTGGGCCCCTTGTAGGGGCCTCAAAAAGTTTAAAAGTCATCAAGAGAACTGTATATTTCACAAATTAGGTCTAATTAGAAGTTCCTCCTTTTTAAGGAGACACATGCTAAAGTTATAACATAACTCGCAAATTTCTCAAAGTTTGTTGTGCCCAGCCCTTTGGGCATGGCACCGGTAGAGGAAAAACAAACTAGAAATCGCAAAGTTTGGAAAGTTTTCTTGTATTGAAATTGTCGTCTCCGAAGGGCTCCGCTCAACAAATACATTATAATCTCTTGGATGTTAGAGTTAGAGTTACGAATTTACAACGATTCCCGGACTAATTCCGCGTCTTAATCCGCAGTGGCTTTTGGTTGTACAAATAAGATCGAGCAACCTAATTTGACAGTAAATTACCCATTGTCATAGAGTTAAACTGCAAAATTGTTTAGTTTGGGTTTAGTTGCATTAAACCATGTAGATTCAACAACGAATGTGAGTTCTGATAATCTATAAATTTCAACACAGCCATGATAAGATACCACATACATTCGCGTTTGTAAACAAGTTCAAGGATCTTTGGATTCTTAGTCCCCTTTTACTCGAGGATACTTTTAGCCGGCACATATTGCTTCGGATACTGGTTTAACATAGAGCATTATGGAACCGTACACACAGGGATACTTTTCACAATCAGTTTCGGCAACTGAATTTCGATCAGCCGTGAGTTCCAGTCGCTCTGGCAATTTTACGACTTCCGGGGCCGATTTTCAATGGGCCTTTATGGACCTGTTCGTTTATGGACTTGCTAATTATGAGAACCTGGCTACTACTTTGCTGTCTTGCTACAAGTCTGCGATGAGTATCCCGCAATGTAAATGGCATCGGAGATTTCGGTCTGCCACGAATCAGCGGTCAACTGTATCCTCGTGTAAAAGAGGTCTTAGCGATTCTAAAATACTACCATGAATAAGTTATTATGACATACCAACTCCTGGCATAAATGTGAATTGATTTTCATAAAGCCTGTTCGTGCTCCATGGGTAATATTGATTGTGGAGTCGAATGGTGTACTCCAAATTGGAGGAATTGGGCGGTGAGTTAAAGATAATTGCCACCACTGAATTATTGGAGGCCCTTGCATAATACTTCAGCAATTGATCCGCGTTACTGAAACCATGAATATCTGCAAATAAAATCTATGTAACCGCCTGGCTTGATAACTTCTCGATAAAACTCACTGTTATTGATTATTTGGAACTTTTCCTGTACACGATGGATGATATCCCCATGGTATGTGCTGGATGGAGCATAAAGAACCTGAGTTTCCTCTAGGTTGATTCCAGGATTACCATAGCTTAACAGGAATGGGTCATTGTAGGTCATATTGATCACTTCGTGCTTACTAAGCGCCGTGATTTTACTTCTTCCATATGCGATCAGCAGGAAGAGCAGCACGGGCACGAGCGCTTCGCACAGTGTTAGAAACCAATGTCTTCTGCGGATCAGACAGTTCTTCCATAGGATTACCTTTACGTGGTACTTCCATATGTTGGCCATGTTCATGTACTGGATACTCTGGAAAGGGGAAAATATAGGAAACGGATTTTCAATGACTGAATGTCAATGCAAGTGTTTCTATGGGATTCCCAAATAGCAATCATTTGTTTGCACATTTTTGACATTTCGCCATAAATTTAGTTATACAGGGTGGCCATTTTCTGAATCTTTGTATGAGTAACTTCTACATTTTTAAAGATAGACTCCGTCAAATGGGCAAAATTGGGCAGAATTCGATTGCCTATTCATTACCGTTTTCAAAATTTCGGTACCCGACTTGGTTATTGAAATATCCTGAAAAGACAAGACTTCTTAATAATCACTTATTACGTAAACTGCTTAACTTAGAAAACAAGTTAAAACTGCTCTTAGTACAACTTTTTGCGTTGACTCTAATAAACTAGCACTCATTATCATAGTCAACTTGATTTACGAGATAAAAAATAAACTTGTAGTTTTTTAAATGGTAACATATTTTTGGTTTTTCTCTTTTTGTTGTCGTAAAACTTCAAAAGATGATAAAAAATGTGTAGTAAGCTATGGAAACAAGAACTATATTATCACACAAAGAACAATCGTTTAAATTAAATGTTCAAATTGACTTCCCTTTACGTCCAGGTATTTTTTGGCATCTTCACAATCAACTCGTGAGTTGTGTGAAGGTGCACTATCATGTTGAAAATATGCCAATTTTCGATACGATGCTAACGGAAAACTATTCAACATGTCTTGAAGTTCATTTGGTAAAAAGTGTAAATATATTTCCATATTTAAATTGTAATTATAAAAGAATAGACCAATAATTTTGTCACTAAAAATGCCTCACCAGACATTCACAAAAAAAAACACGTTGATCTCGCCTATTTTCAGTTAGATGATGATTTTCATTAGCCCAGTAAACATGATTGTATCTGTTAATTATTTCCTTTTTGTTTTGTGCTTTGTGTGATAATATAGTTCTTGTTTCCATAGCCTACAACACATTTTTTTATCTTCTTTTGAAGTTTTGCGGCAACAAAAGGCAACAAAAGAAAAATATACAAACAGTTATATCGTTAAATTCAGAAAAAAATAAGAATTTTAAAAGGCCCACAGCCAATTATGATTACCATTTAAAAACCATAAGTTTATTTTTTATCTCGTAAATCGAATTCTGCCCAATTTTGCCCATTTAACGGATCCTCTATTTAAAAAAATGTAGAAGTTACCCATACAAAGATTCAGAAACTGGCCACCCTGTATATATAATATTTATCACAATATATTTTTACAATATATTAACTATCTAAGTGGGTTTGGTGTTAAGTAGGTATTGATTTGCCCGCGAGAGGTGTTTAAATCGTAAACTAAGATAACGTGTCCTGTTTCCTCATGGCAAAATTGCAAACTTTAATGAGAAAAAAGCAGCCAGAAACCGCATTTCTACCAAAAATTCCACTAAGAAAAGTTGTTACGATATGGTTTATCTACAAGGTGGGCCCATTTTTCACTTTCACTCTCATCCCTGAAACTAGGTAATTTCCGTGTGATTTTTACAATCAAACTTTAACACCGTGCGAGTGGCAAACTGAGCGTTTTAAAAATATGGTATATTAAGGAATTATTATACTTGATGCATATACATGAATGCACCTTTAAATATAAAACTAACTCAGTTTTATATTCAAAGGCTTAAACGCGTTTAAAGAAACGAACTGGCCGATTTTGGGCGTTTATAGCTTTAAACGCCGTTTAAAGACTTGATCTAACCTCACTGTATAAAGAATTGTTGTTGT